ACTCTTTCCTACCACGGCAGGGGGTTGGACTAGATGATCTCCTCAGGTCCCTTCCAACCTTACCAACTATGAAACTGTGAAACAGCAGCTGAACTTTGTACCACCAGGATAGGGCTAACAGAGCCAGTTTGGGGTGAATCTGTAAACCCTTGTGGAACCCAAGACAATTTTTATATGGCAGGGGGAGGTTTTAATGAAGATTTCCGCAGCAGGAGGTTAGATTCAAACCCATGATTTAACAATACAGAACTGGCAGAGAAGAGAGAAGTGAAGCTACTCCACCGATTAGTCTCTGAGCCCCGGGGGTACAGGCTCGCTGGCTCGGATTGCCTGCTAAGTGCTGGGCACATGGCGCTCTTAGCATGAGCTTCACAATGACTGTCCTTTCTCCTAGAGACCCAGTTTCTGGAGACATGTGAATGAGAGAATTGCTGTTTTCATTAAGAAAAAAAAAAAGCAGCAAGACTCCAGCCCTCAGGACTGTAGGGAACAGCTCAAAAAAGTGAAGCTTGAAGTAATACATAGGACCGGGCTGCATGCTTCTTTAACATCTCCTTCACTTTGGCTCACAATTCCCGAGTGCTTGGTGTTGCCAAGCTGCAACATGGCCTGTCCTCCTCCCCACGCTCAAGTGCTGCACTGAAAATAGAGATTCGGTGGCATGAACGGGCACAAAGGTAAAGGTGCCATCACTCAGGACCTCAGAGACCAAAGGCATCTCTCCCTGTGGAATTCAAATCGGCCTGGCATGCTGCCGTCACCTTATCGGATCTTGTTTGAATGCTTCCTATTGACGCTATTGCGTGACCTCTGCTGGCAGCTGCTCCACGGTCCAGTTGCTCTTACCACCAGGAATTTTTTCCTACGTTCAAATCCAAATTTGCCTCCAGTTTAAAGAAAAAAAGGGGAGGGGTGGGGGCGGGAACTAGATGAAAATAAAATATTTAATGTTCCTCCGGCTTTTTTGCATTGGCTGTCTGACCACAGGGGACATACTGCTTCAAAGTGGCTCGACAAGTCTGAATCAATCTAGCCCAAAAAAGCCTCTCCTGCTTCTCAGGACTTCATGTCTGGCTGAAGACATCTTGAACCCTATTTCAATAGCGCTTTCCAGCCACACCATGCAAACTTAGTTTCACAAAAGCCTAGTTATGGATGGGGACAGTCAAGGTAAAGTGGATCAGAGACTTACCCAAATCTATAAGCAAGATTAAGGCAATGAGAGCAGGGGCTCTTCCAATATTTTATAACTCCTCGACCCATCTTGTCACTCCTATGTTGTATTTTTCCACCCTGCCCACAAGCATGCTCTCTAATAGAGGTCTGGGGAGGGGAAAAATAATTGAAGATACACCTTCTCCCAAGCACTGCAGCAACTTGTCTGATCTCAGCAAGGTAATAACGCAGCGAGCAGGGTAATTCGGCAGTCTGGTTTATCACCAGCATCACCTCTCGGATCCGAGACCGGCACCAGATTCTGCAACACTGAATGCCACGCACCAGAATTGTTTCCCCCCCTGAGATACATTCATATATTTAAGATTCATTATATTCTCTCTCTCTCAATTTTATGTTTTGGTCGTCACAAAAGCCTATGTTATAGGAAAACGCCGTTACCACCGATAGACACCCCTGATCAAATCTCAAATTTTCCTCGACGGCAGGCCCACTGAGCATGCGCGCAGTTTAAAAGGGCCCGCCGACCGGGAAAAAAGCCCAGTTAGGCTCGGAAGCGGCGAGAGACGCACGGGTGAAAGCTCGCTGCGCCCCCGCTCCCCCGAAGCCCCCCAAAACCCTCCAGCAGCCGCGGAGCCCCCCGCCGACCCCCAGCACAGCCGGGGTAAGCAGGGCCCGTGGAGAGACGGGGCTAACCCCTTAGTGTGTGTGTGGGAGGAGGCGGCTGAGTGGAGCCGGGCCGGGTCAAGCCCTGCCCAGGCCCCTACTTGGCCCAGCCCCCCAGGGAGCCGCGCGAACAGGCTGCGCAAACAGGCGCGCTTCTCTGCCGGCGCGGGAGTTAGCGCGGAGTTCGCATGGGAGGGCGCACGGGAGGGCCCCGGACCCTGCCTGCGCACCCCCCAGGGTAGACAGCCCCAGCCGTAGCCAGCCTACCAGAGGCATGA